TATATATATTTTTTTTTTTCTGTTAAAGGGGTCAAAAGTTTCTAAAGGATCTAGGGCTTGGGGATGTCAACCACACATCAAAGGCTCTGAGTAGCGAAGATATATTTTTTTATTCTGTTATAGAGGTCAATAGTTTCTAAAGGATCTAGGGCTTGGGGATGTCAACCACACATCAAAGGCTCTGAGTAGCGAAGAATTTTATCTCACCCGGTCAGTCCAAGCGCTCCAAGTTGCTGTCCAAAGTTCCAAGTTGCTGTCCATGTTGTTGTCCAAGCTCCAAAGTTGTTGTCCAAGTTCTAAAGTTGTTGTCCAAGCTCCGCTATGGTCTCCAAACTGCTCTTTGAAAACTTCCTTGACCTCTACGAACTCACCAGAGTTGAAAGAGGGAGGAATAGAAGCCTTGCACAGCAGGTCTTCAATCTCCAAACACTTGAGAGGCTCTTCTACTTCTCTCTCCCTCCACTCGACAAAGAGAAGACATCACCGACTTTGGATGATCCAATGACTAAGGGTGACGAAACTCCTAGATGATCGGGTTGAGGGCCTGAATGAGGTCAGACAGGAGTTCCGTGCAGACGGGAGGTCGCATGAGCAAGGGTTCTGCACGAACAATTTCATGTGAAGGAGCTTGATGCGGGCAAGGTCGGTGGATGGGTATTTCTCGGACATAAGCCGCACGCAAGCAAGGCCTCCCAGACTCCTCTCTCTCTCTCTCTCTCTCTCTCTCTCTCTTGGGAATTATAATTATCAGCAAATGTCAAAAAGTTCGTTATCTTCACAAGCATTGTCTCCTACTTTAAAGTCCTCTTCATCACCCTCATACTCATTCTCAATAGTAACATCGTTATGTTTAAATGAAGATTCATTCTCTTTTCCTTTAGATCTCTCTCGAATGTTGTAGATTTTATCATAAATATTAATAACTTTTTAGCAACACTTTTCCAAGTTAAATATTCCTCTTTAGCAATAAAGTCATTTTATTCATTAGACTCATCATCTAATTTTCCTGTTAGCCACTCATTTGCATCATCTATCTCGGTCAAAGAAATAGGAACAATCACATCATGATGCTTGTATCTCCGAATCAATGTTCTATTATATTTTACATAAACTAAATCCTTTAAGCAGCCACAATCCCATTCTTTTAATTTACAGACCTTAGTTCCCTTTGAAATTTTGAGGCAATTTTCTTAATGGAGCCAAGAAGTGGATGGGATTTTAGAACCCCAAGCCCAACCTTTTGAGCAACACTTGTTAATGCCATTACAATTTTTTCAATTTTGTTTTGCAACTAAGTTTTGTATGCAACTTATGCGACAATTTCAAATTAATAAAATCTGAGCAGTTGAATGCAAACTTCTAAATGAGTTTTTTTTCTTTTTTGAGCATGGATTATTATTGTGGCTATAACACGTTTTATTGGATTTTGATTAGATCTAAAATAAGTCCTGCAATGCAACGTAGAATTCGATTAGATCTAAATAAGTCTGCAATGCAATTAAGTTGGGAATAAATTTAATGGCTTATAAGTATGTTGATGTTGGTCATAATAGTAAAGAAGTTGACTCTTAGGTTATTATTTGGTGCTTCCACTTTTCAGATCTACCTTCACTAAGGGTGTCCAACTTTATAATAGATCCATTGATTTTCAACCCCATCATCTGATATAGATCACGTAGATCCTTCTGCTATCGGTGGATTTAGTCGCAAATTCATTAATTTTGCCTTCTCCATTCAAATCCACCTATCTCCTATATCTATTCTTCCACTATCAAATCTAACATCATCAAGTCCTCTACTATGATGCACCGACACTTCTCCTCAAAGAGGCGTGCAGTGTCTGACACGTATCCGACACGACACTCATCTAAGACTCCTCCGACACGTGTCGGACACGCCTAAAATGTGTCTGATTAGAAAAATATTAAATAGAAATTGGTCACACGTGTCCGACACGCGTATCTTAAATATTTTATGAAATTTTTAAAATATAATTTCTTGTATTTGGAGGGATTTAAACAAAATTTCTTATTTCCTATCCACAACTCCAATCAACGTCTACACTTAATACCCATTCATCGAATATTCTCATTTTCATTTCTCTTTGGCAGTGAAGGTATTTTCATCTCCTCTTTAGGTGCCTGATAAACTGCATCTAGGTTTTATTCTCGACATCCTAATATTAATCATTTTAAGCACAAATTCTAGTTAAATGACTTATTATTTTTAAAATTAAACTTATTTAATTTTTTACACTATTTTTTAAATATAAAAACTATAATACCGTGTCCAACCCGTGTCCGTGTCCTATATTTTCAATAATTGATGTGTCCTGTGTCCGTGTCGTGTTGTATCCGTGTTGCCGTGTCCGTGTTTGTGCATCATAGGTCCTCTACTAACATCCACTTTCTGCATTTTGTCACTGCCTGACATTACTTCATATCTCGAACATAGATTTGTGTCTTTGTCACTCTTTGGCACCCAACATCTATGGGGCTTCCCACCACCAGGTTGCATCAATCCTTACTACACTACCAAGATTTGGACTCCCCCAGCCAGATCTAAAATTTCCTTTAGACCTCCAACCATTTGCTAGATTCCACTTGTTCAAGTCTTGCTTGAACTCGCAAGCACCAACGACCAGTGCTTCCACTTGATCTTGCTCAGTTTGTTGGACCATGAGAGCAAGGCCGTTGTGAAGGGATGAGTAACATTAGGATAAATTTAATGGATGTGTTAGTGCATTAGTGCATTTATTATCATAGGTGGTCTCCCTGGGACGCGAGGAGAGGGAAGATCCGTTAATTCCGGTTGAAGAAGATTTTTGAATTCTCGTTTGCGGTTTTTCCGCTCAACGTTCATGGCATCGGAGGATCACCGGACTCTGGCTTCCGGTGTTCCAGCCAACCTCCGCCAATCTCTGGCATCATCAAGAAAGATCTTGCGACAGTTTGATTCATCTCCGCCTGCCTTTGGAGACGTTGTTCATGAGAAGGAAAATATGTTTCGTTTTAATAAAGAAAGGCCTTTGATCATCAAGAAAGGAGCTTTTGAAGAAAAAAAGAAGATCGTTGAATGTATTGGAAAAGGTAAACAAATTCTCTATGAAGATCCCAGTTTGAAATCTTTCTGTAAACAAGGAACAATTCAACAAAAGGTTAATCTGATCCAAACAGAGGATTGTAATCAATCTTTTTGTATAAATGCGCCAGAAGGGGTTAAGAAGTTTTTGAATGAGGATCAGAATGTCAATCAGATGGCGGTTGATCTGGTTTCAGAAGAAGTTAATAAGATGTCAAAAGAACATGAAGTAGTGGACAAGACTATTCGAAGCTCTGATCTGTTCATAGTAAGGGAATGTGAATCTGGAGATATAGGGAATTGCATTCAAGGAAACAATGTGGTTGATCCAAAGCCTGCTACTAAAAAACAGGGTCTGAATGCTTTGAAGAAGAAGGACAACATTAAAGTATCTGAAATTGATTTCGGAAGCAATTTTGTTAAAGAAGACGGATCTGTCAAACTTCATGTGGGAAAAGAGATTGATAACTCTAATAGATTGAAAAAGTCTCTGGTTATAAAAGTATTTGGTAACAACATTCCCTTCAATGTCATTAGCATTGAGTTAAGGAGACAGTGGTCAAGATTTGAAAAATTTCACTTAACCCAACTAGGCCTAGGTTGGGTGCTTTGTGCCTTTGAGAATCAGGAAGCTCTTGAAGAAATAATGGTTTCAGGTCCCTGGTACGTCAATGGGAACATAGTGGGAATGGAGAGATGGTCAGCAACTTTCTCACCTAATTCACTTCAAGGTCTTACAGCCACAATATGGATCCGGTTGCCAAACCTTCCACTTCATTGCTGGGACGAAGTGAACATATGCAGAATTGCTTCCATGGTGGGAATCCCTTATTTGATTGATGGCAACATGTTCCAGTGGTCCATAAGAGAGTTCGCAAGAGTCTGCGTGAGAATCAAACTAGATGAGAAGCTACCCATGGGAGTTTGGGTTGAAGGAGAGCTGGGAAAGTTTTATCAAAACATTGAATACGAAAGGCTACCTACATTTTGCTTCATTTGTGGTAAGATAGGGCACTTAAGGGAGGAATGTTTGAAGAATGCTTCAGCAAATGAACCGATTCCAGGAAAAGAATACTCAATCAGTGCAGGATTAGAAGAAACTGGAGAGGTCAGGGAAATCTGCCTAAAAGAGGGTCAAACTGATAATGGGAAAAAAGATATTGATAGAGAAGGTTATGGTCCTTGGATTAAGGTGGACTACAATACTAAGAAGATCAATAAAAAATTTCCTGGGATCAAGGAAAATACAAAAGCTAAATCTACCGTAGAAGGTTTCTCTAAGCTGTCATAACAAACAATTCTAGCAGGGAGTCTGTTGGGAATTTTCTGTTAAAACAAATTGATTCTAGTATGAATCATAAAACAAGTGAAGAGGTTAATAATTCTGCTAATATTGTAGATTTCTGCTGCAACGTGGATGTTATAAGACCTGAAAAGGTTTCGGAGATCAAAATTCCAGATTCTACCAATAAATTTGAAATTCTGAGTAACATAGCAGAGGAAGGAGAAATAATAGAGGATTGTTTAAATCCAAAAGAACATGAAGAATCTCAAACAGAGGCAGCTATTAGGGTTTCTAAAGCTATTGAAGGTAATTCATCTACGGTAAAGAAGAAAGGCACAAAGCAGTTAAAGAACATGGGACCTATCAGCCTGAAGACAAGGGGAAGGAAAAATGAAGAAGTTGCTAAGGAGAAAGGGGGAAGTATTTCCCCATTGATCCACAAATGAATTCCTTATTATTTTGGAATTGTAGAGGAGCTAAGAAAAAAAAGGCTTCTCTCTACCTCAAGGAGGTGGTTAAAGATCAAAATGTTATTTTTGTTGGGCTTTTGGAGACTAAACTAGTCACTATTGAGAATAAAGATGTGGAAAATATGATTGGAAATGGGTGGAATTACAGCTTTGTGCCTTCTGCTGGATTATCTGGAGGCATCCTGGTTATGTGGAGAAGCAGTCAAGCTAAATTTAATTTGATTGAGTTTTCTTCTCAATTCATTTTAGGTGATTTGGAGATCAAGAACAAAGGAAATTGGAGAGTAGCTACTATTTTTGGTAGCAAAGAAGTGCACAATAGAAGGTTGCTTTGGAATGGCTTGGAAAAACACATCACCAATGATTGGCCTTTGGTGTTTGGTGGAGATTTCAATTGTCTTTTGGCTAAAGAAGACAAGATTGGTGGCAGAAAATTTACATTCTTTATAGGACCGAGAAAAATGAAATACTTTATGACAGCAAATGATCTTCATGAGCTGAACTTTATGGGTCCTAGATTAACATGGAGCCATAATAAGAAAGGTAATGAGAGGATCATGGAAAGATTAGACCGAATTCTGGTCAATGCTGCTGCAATGAACTGCAATCAATATATGGTTACAAAACATCTTCCTAGAATAGCGTCAGATCACTGTCCTATTCTACTCCATACTTGTTTTTCCTTCAAACATCAAGAGATCTATCAAATTCGAGGATATGTGGGCTTCATATCCGGCTTCATATGCTATAGTGAAAAATTCATGGATGAGAAGAGACCCAGGATCTCCTGCATAAATTCTGAATTATAAATTCAAAAGAACTCTCAAATCATTATTCTTTTGGAATAAGGCAAAGCACAAAGAATTAAATCACATGAAGGACTTGCTCAAAGAAGAAATTCTTATGATCCAAACTAAAGAAGCGGAAGTTGGTATGCTTTCAATGGATGAATATTCAATCCTGAAATTTAAAATCAGTGAGCTCAACTCTACTTTGGCCAGGTTAAACACATGGTGGAGACAAAGATCCAAAGTTAAATGGATAGAAGAAGGAGACCAGAATTCAAAATTCTTTCACTCTATGGCAAGTGCTAGAAAGAACAGTAATCTTATTCATTGCATCAAGGATGGCAATGGAAATCTAGTGGATAATCAAAATCAAATTGATGACACTTTGGTTCAATACTTCGAAAATAAATGGCGAGATAGAAGGTGTTTGCTTGAAGGCTGGCCGAATAAACAACTGTTTTGGATGAGGATGATAAAATAAGCTTAAACAGAGAATTCAGTTTTTAAGAAGTTGAAAATGCTATCAAAAATACAACGGGAGGTTCTTCTCCAGGTGAAGACGGTATTACTTATTCCTTTCTTAAACATTATTGGCATATTATAAAAATTGATTTTTGGGAAGCTATAAAGAAATTTCTTCAAACCGGTAATATGAATAAGGATTGGAAGAGAACGTTGATTGTTCTTATTCCAAAAATCAACAATCCAAAATCTGCTGATAGCTATAGGCCAATTAGCCTGTGTAACACGGTTTATAAAATTGCAACCAAAATTCTTCTCAACAGAATGGAAGGTATTATCCCGAAACTTATATCACTTGAACAAGCAGCCTTTCTTAAAGGAAGATCTCTTCAAGATCATATTTTGATTGCTAATGAACTTATTCATAAGTTCAGATTCTCAAAAGCCTATAAAGGGCTTGTGTCTATCAAATTAGACATGAAGCAAGCATATGAAACTATGGGATGGCCTACTCTTAAAAATATTCTTAAATATTTTGAGTTCCCTGATTTTTTCTCTATGCTTATTTTAGAATGTGTACAGAATCCTACATTTTTGATTTTAATTAATGGAACTCCTTCCAAATGGATCAAAGCCAGATGTGGTTTTAGACAAGGGTGCCCCTTATCTCCTTGTCTTTTTATTTTATGCTCTCAGCTCCTCTCCAATGCCATTAATGAAAAAGATGATTTTGGTATTCGGGTTAGCAGCATCAGCCCAAGAATCACGCACTTATTATATGCTGACGACATTATCTTTTTTGCTGAAGCTAAAATAAAAAATGTTAGAACAATAAAAGGGATTGTAAACACTTACTGTGACTGGACTGGTCAGAAGGTGAACACAAATAAAACAAGCATGTTGTTTGGAAAAGCAGTCAACATCGTGAAGAGGAAGAAAATCAAAAGAATAATGGGTTTCAAAGAAGTAAAGGAATTCAATTACTTGGGATCAAAATTGTCTGTTAAAAGGCTATCAAAGTCAGATTTCCAATTCATGTTGGATAAAATTATGAAGAAACTTAACAATTGGGGTACCAGATTTTTCTCATTATCAGGAAAAATCACAATGGCTAAGTATGTCATTCTTTCAATCCCTTCTTTCCATTCTACTGTATCTTTAGTGCCGAAATCTATTATTAAAGAGGTGGAGAGGATTTGCCATAATTTTATATGGAACAAATCAAATGAAAATCTGGGAATGCATTATGTTTGCTGGAAGAAATTATGTGATCCTTATGAACAAGGCGGTAGAGGGATTCAATCCTGTTTGAGCAAAACAGGTCCATTAAGAGCTAAATTAGCTTGGAAATATATGAAGGATCATGATTCTTTATTGCATAAATATCTATTCCCAAAATATGGTTCTTGTTGGAAAGCAGAAAACAGGAACAAATCAATTTCTACAGCATGGAAAATTATCAAAGATGGCAGCAAATCATTGAAAGATATTGTGAGTTGGAATGTCTCAAATGGTCATTCAATTGATGTTTTTGAAGACATTTGGATTTGGGATAAAAGCTTAAACAAATGGCCTACATTTGTTAACACTCACGAAATCGGTAATGATGCTATTAAAGTGGATTGTTTGATTTCTGATAATCAATGGAGCATTACAGATCTTAAGAAATACTTTGGTAAAGATCTGATGGATTTAATTCTAAATATTAATATAAATCCAGATCTAATTGAAGATCAATTTGAACTCATACACATGGAATCTGGAAGGACAATTACTTAGATGGCTGCTAATCAAAAAGAAGACAAATCAAACGACAATGCTCAATGGATGTGGTTGAAAAAAATTAAACTTTGTGCAAGAGTAAACAATTTCTGGTGGAGAGTCATGAACAACGCCTTGCCAACTAATGGTTTTCTAACTCACATAAGGATTCATACGGAAGTTAACTGTCCTAAAAACTGTAATGAGGAGGAGAATATTAGCCATCTAATTTGCAAATGTAAAAAGATTGTGGATGTTGTTCATCATTTGAATGAATGGGGATTTTGCATTCCTCTGTTTGGAAATAAAGAAGAAATGTATAAATGGCTTTCCAAACAAAACTCTTTTATCTCTACTTTAATTTGCAATGCAGTTTATCTTAGTTGGAAGGATAGAAATAATATTGTACATGGGAAGAAGGAAAGAAGTTCTATCTACATAGCTTCTGAAGCGGTGAGTTATCTAGGAGTTCTTAATACTCCAAAATATATCAAAACGGGTAGGTTGAGTACCAATCAGCAATTGCTGTATGAAAACCGTTGGTATTCTCCTCCACCCAACTGGATCAAGGTGAATGTAGATGCTACATTATATCATTCTTATAAAGGAGGTATTGGAGGAGTGGCTAGAAACTACAAAGGAAGATTTATAGCAGCTTATGGCATATCAAAGTTTCATTGGGATATTACTAGTTTGGAATATCAAGCCATAGCTTCTGTCAAAGAAATGCTAAAGAATCGGATGCATGGATTTCAAGGAATTATCATAGAGAGCGACAACATGAATGTGATAAAGCTTATTCATAAATCTTTCAAGAAAGGAGGCCAAGGTATGGAAAAATTCTCATTTGTGGATAATTTTTATTATGTAATTTTCAATCATGTCAATAGGAGTTGTAATAAGTTAGCGGATATATGTGCTAACTTTGGAGTTTTTTCTTCTTTCTTTTGGGATGATTTAGTCCTTGACGAGGTTCCTTCTTCATTTATCAATATTTTGAAGAAGGAATCTATAGCTTGTACTCGGTAGGGACTCTCTTTGTTCCTTGCTTTCTCTTTTATATTAATTGCTATTTGCTTTTTTCAAAAAAAAAATAGTTCAGAGGTAGGTGGTGTTTATTAGGTTACTATTAATTGCTTATAGAGTTATTAGAAGTCTGTAAATACTCCTCTTTTTGGAGATTAGGGCAAACAAAATTGTAGAAGGTAATGTGTTCAAGCCTATGATACACCGACACTTCTTTTAAAGAGGTATATAGTGTTTGACATGCAAAAAATGTGTCCAATTTAAATAATATTAAAAATTAATTTGACATTCGTGCTTGACACACATTTTAAATATTTTATAAATTTTTTAAAACATTTTTTTGTACTTCAAAATTATGTTTATTAAAAAATAAAAACTAAATTTTTTATTTACTCTCCATAGCCCCAAATCAATCGCCCTCACTCAATATCCTATTCCCAGGCATTTTCATCTTCATTTTTCTTTACCGGGTTACAGCTAGTGTTTCACAACAACGCATGATGTCATCTTTATGATATTTGTTATAACATCAATGTTTTAAAATCATCTCAGTATTGAAGTGAAGTCTAATATTGTTTTGACATTGACACACGACACCAACAATTTTAATATCCACAATCACACCCTCATGCCATCTTGACATCTCATCTTTGTCCAACGTCATCTCAACATCAATGACCGACGGCTGACTCTCTCTCCATATCAATGCCCTTGCACGACATAGATGCTCGACTTTTGATAGCATTGTCAACTCCCTCTCGTTGCCTAACATGATCTCCACGCTCGACTTTTGACATTCTAATATTAATCATTTAAGCACGAATTTTAGTTAAATGACATATTATTTCTTAATTATCCTTAATATTATATACTTATTCAATTTTTATCCGCTATTTTTAAGACATAAAAATTATAGTACCATCTCCAACTCGTATCATTGTCCTATATTTTTAATAATTGACGTGCCCCGTGTTTGTGTGTATAGGCTTTGGCTCATCTCCCTCTCCTCCTAATTGCTCTGGGGATTTGCATGCATTCGCCTTTCTAATGGCCCATCCTTTCTCCTTCATCAATACTTATAGTTTCAGACAAACCTTAAGTTGACCTCGTTATCCTGAATTTGCAATTATTTTTCTTTTTTGATAAATTTTCTAGTTAGTTTCATAACAATTTTACATCATTTTAAGCCTAGGTTACATTAACATCCATTCGTTGTTATAGGTTTATGCTGGTTGGCCTAATAAAATCTCTTTTTTCTTTGGCCGACTTAATGCACATCAATATTGTTGATAGTTGCCAGGGTGAAAACCATCTGTCTCTTGCTGTAACGGAGAGCTTGGATTCTATGGATTGCCTTGGGTACCAAATTTTATTTTTCCTATTGATTTTTTGAATTCCTCTTAGGGCACTTGACTCTAGTCGGAAGTTTGATCCTTAAACTTTAGATTACTTATTCAGACCTAGTCTCTCTTGCTAACCTAACCATTTCCTATAGTGAATTGCCCGGGCTTGGAAATGGATGAAAGGTTTTGAGCATACTAAAGATCCAAGACTGCAATTATTGAGTTGTTAGACCTTTGACCTTGTGACCTGATCTAAGATAGTTGTTTTCACCATTACAGCCTATTCCTTCTTGCCAACCACACAGAATCAATCTCATATGACTGTTGGACAGTTTTTTGCAAGACCTGAAGCCTTTGAGTGGACTCTTACATACTGAAATTTGGGCTACAATTTTCAGACCTGCTAGAAATCATTATTATTTATCAGATTACATATATTTGAGCCTATTCTGTACTTAGATATATTTTGAGAAACTTGATTGTTTCTTAGATGGGTAATGCCACAGCAATTGCAGCTGCTTTTGGTGGAGCTTTGCACCCTGGAATGAGCGGTCTTAATGGACGTAGTACTATCTTATTAACTAACTTAAATCCTGAGGTAAGGCCCTGAACCCCTTATTTGCATATATTTCTCATTTTATATTTGAAAACTGCTTTAACCCTCTGGTTGAATTATGCCTGCAGAAAATTGACGAGGACAAGCTTTTTAACTTATTTTCCATGTATGGAAACATTGTGAGAATTAAGCTACTAAGAAACAAACCAGACCATGCACTTGTACAGATGGCAGACGGGAATCAAGCTGAGTTAGCTTTGCGCTTCTTGAAGGTTCAATTGTCTTAAGCCCCTTTTGTTTAGCTATTTTTTAATAATAGTCTTTAAGGAGAAATTTGGTGAACTTAAATTTGGTTGGAGTGGACTTTATAATTATTATTAGATTTACCTTGGGATAAGTGCAATAGACATTTTGATTGGCTAGTCATAGATTGTATTCACTTGAAAGCAAATCCAATACTGATAAGTCCTATTCTAAATTTGGATAAGAAAAATTAAATTTTACTCATTATTTTACCTATGGTTTTTCTTGGTACTTAAAACAATCTATTGCTATAGTTTGCAGTATTAATCATTCAAAATGTAGCACCTTGTGCTATTTTTCCACTAATTCTATTGCTCGGCTGTTTCTGCTGTTTATTTAAACCAGTATTGCACAATCTATTATTTTCTGTTTGACGTAATAAATTTTGAAATGAATATTAAGAGTTTTATGTTGTATTATATCTAAGAGAAGTTTATGTCTCATAAGAATATAATTTCTCCATAGCACATCCATTTGCTTGCACAGTAAGCTCATTCTACGAAAGAGCTTTTAATTTTAAAATTTGGCACTATTTTGATGTGCCCAAGTAGTGGTAGACAAGCTCCTTACATGTTTTCAAGATCACATGTGTAGTGCATGACATGCTTCCTATATGTTGTCCGTGTGCTTTATTAAAAAAAAAAAACAATGAATAAATAACACATCTATCAGACATGAATGCTATGAATGAAGTGAAATAAAGATGATGATGAGAATGGCATAATTGGGTTGTAAAGATAAATAAGAGAAAGAGAAAATGGAAATATTAAATGTTAATAATTGATTTGTTTAGATTTCCTTATAATGTTTATATTTTTATTTGTTTTAATAGCAGAACTAAACTTATGATTATTTAAATTTGATCACAACATTTTATGATTAACCCTAAATTATCGCAATTACTACACCATTGAATTATAGCTAGCAATATTGATGATTTTTGACAAGTATGGTTATTAGTAATTTTGGTCTTCATAAGTGTTTATAATTTGAATCCAATCCAGGGAGCAATGTTGTTTGGCAAGAATTTGGAACTAACTTCCTCCAAGTATCCTAACATCACTCCTACACCTGACACCCGTGAGTTTGCCGGATCCAACCTCAATCGATTTAACAACAGTACAATTAAGAACTACCGACATTGTTGCGCCCCAACGAGGATGATTCACGTATCCGCTCTCCCTTTAGACTGTAGAGAGGATGAGATCTATGCTCACCTACTAGAGCATGGCACTATAATGAACACTAAGCTGATAGAGGTGAATGGTAAGAGGCAAGCCTTGGTTCTTTTTGAGAATGAGCAGGAGGCAACAGAGGCTCTGGTTTGCAAGCATGGAAGCTCCATACGTGGATCCATTATCAGGATTGCCTTCTCCCAAATGCAGGCTATCTGAATAAAACCCTAGAAAGGATGTGATCTGCTTTGCTTGCCCCTACATAATGGATGCTTTGGATTTGGAGTAGAGTGTAAAGTTATGGTCTTCCTGTATAGCTAGTAATGTCTATATTGGTTTTTACCATTATTGGATGTAATGCAAATAGCTCCTTAAAAAATTGGATATATTTTAGAAGCTCCTTGCAACATTTTATTAGACTGAAAGGCAATGTGATTCTAAATACACTTCTGATGCTCCACTCTAAATGAATATCCCTTCCATTATCATCGACAAAGTGGTAGGACATTTAGTAAGCCCTCATATTTTACACACCTCTCCGTCTCATGCTTTATATAGTAAAACGAAAATGATTTATCCAACATTTTTATGGTATGGTGTTATTTATATTCACTCTGTTAACATTATGCTCATAGTATTCTTTACTTTTCTTTTAATGCTTCATCTTTTATCTGAGTTGGGAATCATAGATGTAATGCTTTTCAATATCTACATCCACAATTTCAAAATGTCTTTTCGCTCGACATATCAAATATTTTGCATCTTTTTTATTTTATTGAATGAATCATTTGTGATGTTTAATAGGCGTTACAAAATGCAATCTCCTTGATGATATTGTAAGCTGCGTAAGCACATAAATAAGTTGTGCTTGGCCAACAAACATTTAGACGAAATTGAAGTGTGTTTATGATGATCCCTATATATATAGTCTTATTTTTTATGTATGCCCTTCTATTATATGACATGGTGTTACCAATGAGGTGCATGCAAGTCATTGCTAGCATCAACGATACCTACTATCACAACTACAATTGATGTCCATCATTGTTAACAATGATCATGTTCATGGTTGTTAATAAGGCAATGTTTGTCATCACCAACGCCAAAGTTTGTTACCGCAAATGGGTTGACCCCAACAATTGCCAATAAGGATCATAATTGTAATGCAATTGTTCCCTCTCTCAAGTGGTACTTATAGATATTAAGAGAGAGAAGTTTTGAGCGGTTCTAGAGCGAGAAGTGTTGTAATTCAATTTTTTTTGTCCTATTTTTTCGCGGGACCTCTAGTATGATGGAAGAAGGCCGCTGGCATTCGCCGACTGTCATCTCTTTTGTTAATCCTCAAGTATCTTCAAAGGATTTTAGCTCTTCACTGTGGAATGGAGGCATTAAGAATAATATGTTGATACCCGATGAAAAAGTACGTTTAAAAAATTATTCTCTTGTTATTAGAGAAGGATTTCATCCTCCTATTCAGCAAAATGCCCTAGTTGAAGGAAAAGGTAAGATGATTGCTGAAGATTCCAAGGTTTCAAAGGATAACTCACGTATGAAGATTCATAATCCAAAGATGAATGACTTTGAAGCTTCTTCATTGGTTTTGAATTTAAAAGTTAGCATATTTATGTTTGGTAATTCTTCAAACACTAATTTGCCTGTGATTGGGAATTTATCTCATAAATTTGATGACTCCTCTTCTGGAATAAATCATGTTGATGCTAATATTGCTGATAATCATGTTGAACATTGTTAGAAAAATCAAAACAGTGGTTCGGCGAATTTAGTTAATTCATTGCATATTCACAACTCTGCTAATTCAATGGAATATTTGTCCCCATATTAGAATTAATCCTAATTTTGTCTCTATCGAGATATCAGATGATGGGATTGTAATTAAACTTAATTCTGAGAATGAAAGTGCAAATGCTCAAGTTTTGAAAAATTCGTTGGTTGTGAAAGTATTGGGTAAAAATGTTCCATTTCCTTGTTGTAGTATGGAATTAAGGAGACAATGGAGTAAATTTGGAGGATTTTGTTTAACATCATTGGGTTTATATTGGATTTTATGTTTCTTCCAGTCTAATGAAGCTATGGATGGAGTTTTGAGTGGAGGATCGTGGTATGTGGGTGGGCATATAGTTGGAATTGATAAATGGACACCTATGTTTTCACTATTATTATTAAAAGGTTTATCATCGCCAGTTTTGATACGTCTTCCCCATATGCCTTTGCAATGTTGGAATGAAGTGAATATTACAAAAATTGCTTCAAGGGTTGGTACACCGATGTTACTTGATGGAAAAATATTCAAATGGGGGAGAAGGGAATTTGCTAGAATTTGTGTGAGAATCAACCTAGATTCTAAATTGTCGGGAGGTATTTGGGTGGAAGGAATGTGTGTTAGATTTTACTAAAATATTTAATATGAGAAAATTTCTTCATTTTGTTTCAATTGTGGTAAGATTGGTCACGAGATTAATTCATGTCCTAAAGTTTTAGCTCATGCTAAAAAGAGTATTGCTAGCAAATCCAATAGTAAGAATTGTTCCATTCATACTTCTGATATTCCTGAGAAGAATGGTAGTAATCCAAATAAAGTCCCACATGAGGATTGTGAGTATGGGCCTTGGATCCATATTAAGTTTCAAAATAATAGAGGAAGAGCCTTTAGAAATCAAGATCTTAATAAGAGGGGGATGAATAAATCTTTTGTGAATCCTGACTCTCTGGTTGAGTTTAAGGAAAAGGTTGTGGAAAGTTCTACTACTAAAGTAAATTGTTGTGAAAAGAATGGGGTAGGAGATCATATTCAGAAGGAGGGAGCTTGTAAGATTGTTGTAGGTGATGGAATTCATTCTAAGATAGAGGTTGCTTTTTGTCTTTCTCTGTTTAAATCAAATAAATTTGATGCTCTGGTTGATTTTTATGAAGATAATGACTATCAAGCTGATGTTGTTCCAAGTTTTACTAATTTGTATGTTGATTTTTCTAATGTTCCCTGTAATGTTAATTGTTCTTCTATTGTTAATTATTCTGATGATGAATGATGATCAGTCTGTTATGATCGAAGAAGTCAGAAAAGTTGTTGTTATTGTTGAAAAAGCTAGTAAATTTATGGATGATGTAGAGCTTTATTTTGATGGAAATCTAGATGCTAATGTTGTTAAAACTGCTGAGAGGTTTGATAATGAAGATATTGTTGATACGAGGGGTGGTGGTATTTTATCATCTAAAAAAGTGTTGCATTGTGATGGCAATGGTGCAGTTTCTAATGCAATGAATTGTTATGTAAAAAAAATAAAAAATAAAAAATCCCCTCTCTTATAGATAATGTTGTAAGTTCTTTAAGTGGCAAACAAAAACAATCTAAAGAACTTAAATCATTAGGACCTATAGAGGATATTCCTAGGAACAGGAAAGGTGAAGTGGGTGGTAGACATGAAGTTGGGGACTTTTTCTCATCGATGTCTTAATGTCTCCCTTTTTATTTTGGAATTGTGGAAGACCCAAAAAAAGGGAGGGTTCTCTTTATCTTAGGAAGATTATGAGAGAATGATGTTATTTTCATTGGTCTGGTTGAAACTAAGTTATCTTGTATTTATAGGAGGGATGTCAATAGGATTATTGGGGAGAAATGGGATTTTTTTTATCATCCGACTTATGGCACTACTGGAGGTTTTCTTATTTTATGGAATAGGTTTGATGTTAGTTTTGTTGTTTTTCAAGAGTCATCTTAGTTGGTGTTTAGTTGTCTCTAAATTTCTGATATGGATAGTTGGAATGTTTCTACGATTTATGGGAGTAAGGATTTGCATATCAGAAGGAGTTTATAGGATTTTCATGAGAAAGTTTTGCCTAGTTCTATTCATTATGTTGTGGGAGGGGATTTTAATTATATTATGTCCATGGAAGGCAAAAAGAGGGGGGTAAGAGATTTATATTCTCCAAGGTCCATAAGAAATAAGATCTTTTATAGCTAACACTGATTTTCATGATGTAGGTGTTATTGGACCAAGGTTTACTTGGTGCAATAATAAAAAAGGTAATTCAAGGATCTGGGAAAGGCTGGATAGATGTTTATTAAATTCAATAGCTCTTCAGCATGTACCATTTGCTATGGTGAGACATCTTGCTAGAGTTGTGTCAGATCATTCTCTTATTATCTTCAAGATTAATGACATGTCGAGACCATAACACAAAATTTTCAAATTTGAAGATGTATGAAAGTCTTATCCACTGCTTGGAATATTGTTCTTAAATCGTGGAGGAAAACTAATTTTTGAAATGAAGCTGAAATTTTGCGAAGGAAGATGAAAATAATGTTGAAGTCTTTGTATTATTGGAACAAAAACAAATTGAAGGATTTGTCATATTTGAAATAGAACTTGAAGAAGGAGATTTTGGAGTTACAATTGAAAGAAAATTCGGAAGGAGGTATGAATCAGCAGGACCTGAAGCTTCTCGGATGTAAAGTTCGAAAATTGAATGTTACTTTGGCCCAGTTAGGTACTTGGTGAATCAAAGAGCAAAGACTAGATTAATGGAAGAGGAAGATACAAACTCCAAATTCTTTCATGACTATGCATCAACTAGAAGTAATGGGAAGTGGATAAATTAGATCAAAGATGAAACTAACAATTTGGTTGAAGATCAAGATAGAATATAAGCTATTTTTTTAGGTTTTTTGTCATAAATGGAAGGATAGAAAATGTACATCATCTGATTGGCCCGAAGTTTTTAGTCATAAAAAATTGAAGTATCTGATTTTAATATATTGAATGTTGAGTTTACTAAAGAATAATTGATGGAAGCTATCAATAATTTGGGAAATAATGAGTCACCAAGACTTGATGGTATCACACCTTCATTTCTTAAGTTCTTTTGGAACATTGCCTAAGAGGATAAGTGGAAAGTTGTTGAGTGTTTTTTTACTATTGGTAAAATGCATCCTGAATGGAAGGATTTTTTAATTGTATTGATTCCAAAAATAAGTATTTAGTGGAACCTTCTTATTTTAGGCCCATAAGCCTTTGTTAAACTATTTATAAAGTGGTGGCTAGAAGATCATGAATCGGTTGAAATATTCTTTACCTAAGATCATCAATGAAGATCAAGTTACTTTTGTGCCTGGAAGGTCAATGTCAGATTATTGTCTTTTAGCTCAAAAATTCTTCAATAAGTTCAGATATTCTAATTCCATGAAGGGATTTATATCGGTAAAAATTGATATGGAGTAGGTTTATGATAGTATGGCTTAACCAACTTTATCTAAGGCTTTAAGTCAGTTTAGTTTTCCTCCTAAATTATCAAACCTCATCATGGAATGTGTTCAAAATGTAAGATTTTCTGTTCTTATAAATGGTAGAAATTCTAATTGGATTGATGTTAGAAGTGGATTTAGACATGGCTTCCCTTTGTCTCCTTATTTGAATATTATGTGCTCTTAGTTATTATCGAATCCCATTTATCAAAGAGGTTATGATCTGGATATAAAACTTGCTCCGAAATCTAAAAAATGTTTCCCATTTGTTATATGTTGATGATGTGTTATTGTTTTCTATTGCATCTACTATAACAGCATGTCTTATGAAGAAAATAATGGGTAATTTTTTTAGCTGGATAAGTTAGAAGGTGAATAAGATGATATCTCAAATTTTATTTAGGAAATCAGTGAAGAGCAATAGAAAGAAGAAGATTGCTAAGACTTTGGGGTTTAAAATTGTAAAATAAATGCATTACTTTGGTGTAAAGATGTCCATGAGGAGGTTAGTAAACTCTGATTTCCAAATCATTCTAGATCATGCTTTGGAAAGGTTAAATGCATAGGGCAACATGTGTCTCTGTATGGCTGGTAGAATTCTTCTTATCTAAAGCACATTTCTACCACTTCCTATTTTATTGTCAACTCATTCATTAGTACCGAAGGGTTTGCAAAATGAGTTGGATAAGCTTTGTAGAGATTTTATTTGGCATAAAGACAAAGGAAGAAAAGGTTTACATTATATGTCTTGGGAGGAGTTATGTAAACCTAAAATGCTGGGAATTATCATTATTTAATTGTATTATTTTCTCAAAATATGGAAGTGATGTTTGAAATTCTAATGTTAAAAGGGGAGCTTCACCTTCTTGGTAGATTTTGGTGGATAGATCAAAGCATTTAAAGAACATCATAAGGTGAAAATTGGCAAATGAAAACAAAGGGAACATATTGAATGATGTTTGAATCCTTAATAAATCTCTTAATAAATGGTTATTATTCTGATTTGCAAGATACAATGGTTTAACATTTTATTTTACCTGAAGGCAGCTAAAGTTGGTCTAAACTCTAGAATTTTTTTTTATGATATTCTTACTCGGTTATTATGCAAGTTCATTTTTTTCTTGGTATGAGGGAAGATTGTATTGAGCTTATTAAATATTATTCAGTGAGATCAATCACATCTTTAGCTTTTGAAGCATCGATGAAGTATGATATCAAGATGTATCGTCTGGAATGGTGAAATGGATAAGGATTTTCAAGCTCAACCTGAAGGTTGAGATGTTTTGGTGGAGACTATGTAAGGATGCTCTTCATACTAATTGTTTATGAATGATAGGAATCTTATACAATATAATCATTATGCTAGAGGATATCATGAGTTGGAGAATTAATTGCATATTGTTGTTAAGTGCAAATTCTTAATTGAGCTTCTTATCATGCTAAGTGAATGGAGATTCCAATTTCTGATCTTCCCATCTTTTACTGGGTGTATATTGGAACTTAAAAGGATTTCTTATTTGAATTAGAACATAGTCAAATTATATTGTACAACCATTTTTTATTCTTGGAACAGTTGTAATCAAATTAAGTGTGGATTGACTTCAACTTCTATAAATGTTATTGCATCAATTATTTTTATGTCCTTAATGCAGCAAGCTAGATATCTGATGCTAGAAGACTGGGATGCTAACCTCCTTTTGGAGTCTGTTAATATTTTACATTCCCCATCACTAGATTGGAACAAAATTAATGTTGATGTATCTCTTATGGAATCAAATAATACGGGAATCAATGGTGTTATCAGAGATTACAAGGGACGATTTCTTCAGGCTTTTGGCAAACATGTATATTATTGGGATGTTGCTCAACTAGAGTTAGATGCTATCTTATTGATTATAGAACATATCCAAAGTTGGATGTTTCATAACAAGTTGGTAATTATAGAAGTTGATAACATTGGCATCATCAATTTCCTTCGAGACTCAATGAAGACTTCTAAATGACATTAAGATGGGTTTTTGAATAAGGAGCTTTTCTTTTTAATTGATTTCAATAATGTCATTTTTTTTATTATATTTCTAGGAATTATAATAAAGTGGCTGATTGTTGTGCCACTTTTGCTTTATGTAAGAGCTTTGTTTTTATAGCTTTTATCTGGATAACATTCCTTCTTGTTTGTTTAGCTTGTTAAAGAAGGAATGTGATCGTTATCTTTCCCTTAAGGAGTTTGTAGTAGCTTCTTATTTTAATTCAAGTTGCAATCTTCAAATGTAAAAATTAAAAATAAAACAATTCCCAATAAGGCTAATGATGCCTATCTAACATTTTAATCTTCAAACCAACCAATAGGCAAAAGCTCATTTAACCCAGCCAACTAAATTTATTGAAAGGGTCGACTCATCCAAAACATCCACCCAATTTTAGGTCAAAGTAGATATATCATCTCATTTAACATTTACCAATCCTAACTCTCTTGCAAGCGACCTAATTCTCTTCTAAGTGACCCTTTTGATCAACTAGGATGGCCTATTAGATCAGTACAACTCCCCATAATTGTGTGACTGAGCACTGAACTACTCATGATTCCATAATATGATAGTTTATACTATATATCATCGTTCTCTCCAAATCCACTAACACTTGAAAGATGCTTTGGGCATACAGATGCATTAAATGGGAGTGTCTTTAAGAGGCTTATAAAAGGAGGAGATAGTTAATATAATTTGAGTTAGATATCTTAAGCTACAGATTTTTTGCTTTCGATTTTTTCCTTAAGAGAATGAATGTAATAAG